CTCTGTACTGTGAGAAATAAAAAATTATATTAACAAAATAAAATACAATATTTAATAAAATATTATTCTCTTACGTTTGAATTTTTATTAATAATGTAAAATTGTTGTTATTAATAATTATGTTAAGTTCACTTACGTTTTAATATTCTTTTACCGAGGCATTTGTATCACCCTGCGTGGGTTAATACTCCGGTGAATATGAAATTTCGGGCGCGATGTTAGGAGAGAAAGAAATTCCTAATAAAATTTTATTTTAATTAAAATAAACAAAAAATTTATACGTAGGAAAAGATTAAGTATAAAATATGCAATTATTACCTTCCTCAGTCATCGCCCCGCTATCTTCTTCTTCTTCTTCTTCAGAAAACGTGGCGTTATTTTCATCTCCCACTTCTTCTTCTTCTTCATCTCCCGTTTGTTCTACTCGATCTTCCGGCTCTTCTTCTTCTTCATCTTCCGTTTGCTGTATTTTTTCTTCTTCCAACTCTTCATCTTCCTCTTCCTCCTCCTCCTCCTCCACTTACTCCTCCTCGTTCACTTCCTCTTCCAGCTTCTCTTCATCTTCCGAAATCGAGTTTATTTTCTCGTCGATTTCCTCCTTCTGTTCTCGCTCCTCTACGACCACGTTTTCATTCGCCGCGTCATCTAATATTCATCAGTCATATATTATTAGTATTTCACATAATTAAAAAATATTTTGTGTTGATATATACCACTGTAGTATTTTTCTTACTTACTTTCAATCGAGTAAATATGACCGCTTCATCGAACAGACTTACTTCGCGAACCCGCGCTTCTTCCACGTCTTTGACACTTTCGGCTAAATCAATAACCGGGTGTTCCATCTTTGGCGTTAACACGATGCGTGCACGACCTGGAACGTATAACATTTTTATTAAAAAATTTCTTGTTTAATATAATGTTTTCTAGCAGCGCGATATAATTTATGATGTTAAAAACTCACGCGAAGGCCCGGGCTCCGGCGAAGAATCCGCTCGTCGTCTTCTATTTAACCTTAATCTAAGTGATACGGGGCGATTCTCCAGTACACGCAACCGGTTTCCTGTAACGCATGCGACAGGGCGTACGATAGCTAAAGTTTTAGCGATTTAAATAAATAAATAATTGGGGTAGTTTTAATTAATTTATTTATAATTAAGTGTAATAAAAATAAAAACTTACCATTATTATCTCCTCCCCGCAGAACTCGATGAAAATGTAGGAGGAGATATTCTATGTAACCTGCTGTATCGTTTTCCTTCTCACCATCGAAATAGTATCGCGACTCGATCATCTCACCCGCGATAATCACTAATTCGCGAAAAACACTAAAATGTCTTAGTCGGAATAATACCGCTAGCACAGCGCTGGGACATTCCTCCGCAATTTTTCCAAAAATATTAAAGCATTTCTCTTCACTCGCGCATGCTAATTCATATATATGCTTGGAAAAATTTTTCCCGCATAAACTCTGCGCTAGTGATAGACAAATTTCAATTATTGTACTTTTTTCGAACTCATTATTGAAATTTAATAGTACACTTACGTCGAATACGTGAGTACGCGAGAAACGAAATTCAAAAATGTAACTAGCTAACTTAACTCCGAGAGCCGTATTTATACGTGTTTATGGAAATCAAGATGGGGAATTTTCAGGTATCTTTTCTCGATTTTATTTTTTTTCTCATAGTCGTGTATTTTTACCCATGTTTTATATTCATATATATATACGAGGTGTGTTCAAAAAGTATCGCGAATTTTGAATTTCCGCGGGTTACGTATATTCGATTTTCGATTTTTTTGTGGCGTTATGTTGGTACTCATGTTTCTCATTTATGCCGACAAGTACGGCCATTTTGAATGTTCAGTTAATTTTTGACAGCTGCTTTGCTTGCACGTGTTTTGGCTCGTCTTCGATTTTTGCCTATTCCAAAAAATGGATCAAAGAATCTGTATCAAATTTTGTGTGAAAAACAAAATTAAGTGCGCGGACGCATTCCGAATGTTGACTGTGGCATATGGTGAAGCTACCTTGGACCGAAGCAACGTTTATCGGTGGTACAAAATGTTTTCCGAGGGCCGAGAAGATGTGAACGACGAAGAGCGTGCCGGACGCCCGAGCACGTCAACAGACGAAAACATTGATGAAGTGAAGAAAATAGTATTGGTCAATCGTCGAATCACCGTTAGAGAAGTTGCTGAGGACCTAAACATATCGATTGGCTCGTGCCATTCGATTTTTACCAATGATTTGGGCATGACACGGGTCGCCACGAAATTTGTACCAAAATTGCTCAATTTCGACCGCGAATTTTTGGCCAAAAACAACACACTAATAATGCCGCAGCCACCGTATTCCCCAGATCTGGCCCCCTGTGACTTTTTCTTGTTCCCGAAACTGAAGAGGCCCATGAAAGGACGACGCTACGCTACGATTGAGGAGATAAAGACGGCATCGAAGGAGGAGCTGAACAAGATCACAAAAAATGATTTTTTGAAGTGCTTCGAGGATTGGAAAAAACGTTGGCACAAGTGTATAATATCTGGTGGGGATTACTTTGAAGGGGACAAAATAGATATTCATGAATAAATAAATAATTTTTGAAAAAACACAAAATTCGCGATAATTTTTGAACACACCTCGTATATATATGGTAATATTTACTTAGATACAGAAAATATTTAATCTAGGGCGATATTTACTTAGCTACAAAAAGTTTATGGAAATCAAGATGAGGAATTTTCAGGTATCTTTTTTTGATAGCGATAGGAATTTTATATTTTCTCTGTAGTCAGATTTAAAAATTATATCATTTATATTGTTTAAAAAATTTCCCTTCCACATTAAAAATTATATCGTTTATATTGTTTAAAAAATTCCCCTGCCACATAATTTTTATTATACTACGCATGCATTTTCTCCCTACCACTTTTCTATTTTATCTTCCTTCTTATAAATTTTCTTGAAAATCTTCGCTCACTCGTCTTTCATCGCTCGAACTTTCAAGTTTGTTAGTAAAAAGATAGTTAGTTAGTAAAAAGTTCTCTATTTTTCGATTTTACCGCGTCTTTGATTATTAAATCTTTGATTTTCTACGCGGTGGCAACTACCATGAACAATCTTAAGAAAATCGAGCAACAACCGCGCATGTTGCTGTCAACAACATACGGATTAAATTCATCCTACACGACGAAAATTCAAGTGGGTCTTATGACAGAAGACAACGTCGAACTGGATTTTCTGCCTGCTGTTAAATTAACATCTCACGGAGCTGCAGGGATTTGCTTCGACATGAAATCGTGGCAAAAATTTCAAGAAAACATGGATACAATGTCGCACTACTTAAACAGTGATAAAATTAATTTGAGCTCGATCATCTTTAACAAGATAATTATAAATTTCACTACCGCATATGGTGCTAGAGCTATACTAATAACGTATCGTGAAAACGAGCAAGAAGATCTTTCTTCCGAAACTGCGGAGGATGCAAACGCAAACGGACCGAAGGCGAAGAAACGTAAAACTTACAACATTGCGATAGTCATGCAGAAAACGACTTTTCAAGGTATAGAAAATATAGTTGATTGTGTGAACGCTAATTTAAATCGCCTAAATTTTATTTCAATTAATGTCAACAAATGTGCTCGATATTTAATTAACGAAATACAGTTAAATCTTCCTGTCAACGGTAGAATCAATAACAGTATCGTGAAACTCACGATCAGAGGTAACAGTAAGGAAATAGAACGTAATGTACGCACCCAGCTGAAAGATTTAATATTTCTCGATGTATACTTTGAGATAACATTTTTAGAAATAATTTCACTTTATTTCGAACAAATTGTACATGCAATCATAACAAAACGTAAATCTTAATAATTATTCGACGAATATTTTCTTGAAATGTTTGTGAATAATTTTGTTCTGTAAAAATATTTTAAATATAAACCATATTTGTACTTTTAAAACCACTGTTCGATTTTCTTTCACTTCCTCTTTCCAGAAATTTTCTCAACGTGCATGTTCCTGTTCACCTTTATTAAGCCGCGCGTTATTTTTAAATAAAATTTTATCTGCCATCTTTTCAACAATAAGCATTCTTTCTAATCTACGATAATGTATTTTTTTATCGTGACACGAGTCAGAATGCTTGCCTGAACAAATATTTGCGTGTTTTTTTTTTTTTATTTTTTTTATTACCCTACGGCATCGTCAGCCACTACCTGTCACCGATCCCCGTTCGACCGTATGACGCTTTTCTTGGTCAAACTGTTTTTACCCCACCCCGCCCAATATCGGCCATTTCATTCGACGAGCTATTCTTGCCATACGTATACCCGAACCTCCATACCGTACTCTACGCAACTTTAGCTTAAATGTCTCATCAAATCCTTAGACTAGTAAGATCTCGTTTAGCTCAGCATACGAGGACCCTGCTCGGAAACGCGGAGGTTCCGGGTTCAAATCCAGAGAAAATCAGAAAAATAAAAAAAATTCTCATTCCAAACTTTCGGGGCCAGTCGCCATTTTTTTCCCCCAACACTCGTAGTCGGAAAAACCAGACGCTGGTGATGGGGGAAAGACAAGCCACGCCCACGGCGCCAGAGAGGCTTGTGGTGGGGGTTTGTTTTGACAGGCCATACCTGCCACTATACTACTAAACAGATATGTCCACTATTTATGCTATTATTATGGTAGGAAATACTATAGGAACAAATATTCCTTTCGAAAAATTATTTGATTATGTAGAACGAGTAGACCAGGATATTTGCGACAAGAATTCAAGGAACACCAGATAAAGTTTAATATGATTGCACAAAAAATTATTTATATTTTGTAAGTTTGAATTTGTTTTTCATCATTTGAAAGTGCACTTTCATCATTACCATTTAAAAAAATATAAATTCTGTTTAATTATGAAAGAAAATAAATAGCAAATATAGAAATTAATTGCAGTTTTTATAAAATAGTAAACTTTAAATTGTTTATTTGTGTGCAGGATGTTTCCTGAAACGTTTGAAATGATTATGCAATTGATTGAGCCAGCTTTAACTCTAACAAATACAACAGGAAGAAAACAAATATCGGCAGAAAAACAATTATTAATAACATTATAGTTTTTAGCTACTCCAGATTCTTATAGGTATTTACTTTTATTCTTATACTCTAATAAAATAATAATATAATGACTATTTTAATATTCACTGCTATTACTGAAAATCTATAATTTACGTCATATACATACATACACTATAGATTTTCAGTTTTGGCAATATCAGAATGCAGTTTTTTTGTTATTTTTAAATGTAGAGTTGTGTAGCATATATATTTATTTTCGCAGATCAATACATGTCCAATTTGGTGTTGGAAAAGCAACAGCATTCAGAGCAGTAAGAAGGGTAACTTATGCCTTGCATTGTTTTGCACCAAGATTCATTCGAGTGGCCAAAAAATGAAGTGCTACACCGTACTATTGAAGAATTTGCGAAAGCAAGGTTTTCCTAATGTAATCGGAGCCCTTGATAGATCATATATTAGAATTAGAGCTTCAAAGGAAAATCCTGCTTCATACATATGCAGGAAACAATTTCATGTGATTCACTTGCAAGCGGTATGTAATGCAAAAACAGTTTTTATTCACTGCTATGCAGGACATGTCGGCTCAGTACATGATGCAAGAGTGTTGAGAAATTCTGCATTTGCAGAATTACATTGAAATGCCAAATGAATACTTTCCTTTCGATACTCATTATAGCAGATTCTGCATATGCAATTTTTCCGCATTTAATGGTTCTATTTAAAGATAATGGCCATCTCACAGCACTTCAAAAAAATTATAACTTTTGTTTGTTATCAACCAGGATGACCATAGAGCGAGCGTTTGGATTATTAAGGGTTCCGTATTTTGTTAGATTGCTTACTCCTGACTGATATAAAAAAAAATACAAATTATATTAGCTTGTTGCGTTCTCCATAATATTTGCACTCTAAGAAATGGTGAGTTTCCAGATGTAGTATATTGTCACGTCCTGGGCTTCAAATTCTGCGCGTTTACGCGCGTTCACGAGTACGCATAGTGGAGGAAACCTGAGCAAGCGGGGCCGAGCGGTAGAACACGCGTGGTCAGGAGTAGGGGAAGAACGCGCGAGGACAGGATAACAGATGGAATACGGAGATTGGGAAGTATTTTAATAATTAAAATGTATAATTAGTTAGTACTTACTACCGTAATAATGAATATTATTAACTGATAATAAAAGGATATTATAATAAAGTTTGATAATAATTTATTTAATAAAATTTTTAAGTATTTCTCAATATCAATCGTTTAATAAGTAACAAGGTTAGTAATTATGTAAAATAATAAATACATCAATAATTATTTAAATTAGCAATTATGTAAAAATAATACAAAATCACCTAATCTGTAACAATGCTCAAGCTCGTATGTAAACAAACACAATGATAACTTATTAAATATTACGAGGCCATGTGAAACAAGCAATAAAAAATTATTATAAAACTTGGAAAAAATTTTAATTTAAAAAAAAACCAATTACAAACGTTTCGAACTATACTTAGTCTTTTTCAGTGCGCAATGAAACAATAATAATAAATAAAAAAATAAATAAAAATTCTAATAAAAAGTCGCAATACAAAGTCAAAATAAAATAAAAATTAGATAATTATGTCAAAATTAAAAGGCGAAATACGTTAACAATATATTGAAATTATTAAAAATAGTTCAACACGAGAAGTCCCAATTAGAAGCAAAAATCGAATTAAAATAATTTATCCGGCTAATCAATAAATATTTTAAAATTATTATTCAAACCTCAGAGTGGCACTTAAACATTACTCCAAACCAATCACTCATCGTTAGTCGGCGAAAGACTATCAGTCTGGCAATGATCATGTCCATCCTCTCCAAGTTATTTAATATTTGATATTATAAACTGAATTTAAAAAGAAATTTTATATTATAAAATAGAAATCTACTTATGTATATGTAAAAATTAAAAATTAAAAATTAAAAATTAGTTACTTGTTGCTTACAATTGTTCCGAATAAATTGAGATGACAATGCCTCTAATTGTTGTTGAACTTAGTACTTGACTGATGTCAAGTCATTTAAAAAGTTGAATAAATAGGTGTCAAGTCGCAAAACATAAACATTTTAATAAGTCTAAAAATTCGCTATTTCTTCTAGAATGTCAAAATAAGCGTTGTTGAGCAATTCGGTGTTTGTATTATTATTTATACCATGCTTTTGTTCCTTTATGTGTATCATCTCCGAGATAAGTCTTTTATAATAGTAAGATTCGATATCAAGTATTTTAACGTTATCCCAATCAAAAGCATGTTTTTTATCTACAATATGTTCAGAGACCACCGAATGCTTGGAAGAATCAAATCTAAAATTACATAGCAAGATGAAGGATTATTATAGTTATTTTATTAAAATTCCCATTTATAGCAATAAATATAATATATTAAAAGCAATAAATATATTATATATTTAAAACTTATGTTTTTATATCATGAATATTCCACCGCCGACATATATTGCCTAAAATATTATTTTTAAAATCGCCAATGTTTTATTAGAAAAAAATTTCCCTATAAGCGCATGATATTATTTAATATTCTAGGCGTATTTTTAAAATATTAAATATTCTAAGAATATATATTAAATATTCTAAAACTACTAGAATATTGCTTAAATATTAAATAATATTATGCGCTTACATGGTTTATGCACAATACAATTCAAATTATAATAAATATTTTTAAAGTAATAATAATAAATTTATTCTATATAATGTATAATAATATAGAAAATATTGAAAAAAAAGAAAAAGAATTTATAGAAAAAGTGGGACGCGAACTGGCAACCTTTATACTTGTAGTTCGTTGCTAAGTCCGCTGTGAGTCGAAAAAACTAAGGAATGTACTAAACTTCACACCGCGATTTCTCATCAACGCTTGAGAGACGCATTGTCTTCAAATAATATGTATTACTTTTATATGAATACTATATTTCTACAATAGTTCAATAAAATCGGTGACCCGAAGGGTTGACACTTTTATATATTATAATTCAAGGGTAGGTGCTAATTAACGCTAAGATAGGTTGGATACGTTGATAAGACTTTTATAATCTCAAAACAATCAAATTCATAAAATCAAAGGAAGATTTAAAAATAAGGCATTTTTGACCCAGAAGCAGAATTTAAATCAACCATTGTAAACTATTTTTGAGATTCTATAAAATAAATACTTTAAATACTTTAAGCGCTACAACTTTTGTTTGAAATTTTTTTTTAAATGTATTTTATAAATGCAGTTTATAAAATATTCAATAATTTCCAAACTTTAAGCACATCCTGTAAGTGTAAAGTAAATTATGTAAATCAAAACATTAAATTCTCCACATTACTACTTATTTTTCCATATATAAGTGTATAATTGATTTTATTTTGAATAGACATCATGGCTATAAAGTTTAAAATCTTTATATGACTTCCAATAATCGATAATAAATTTTGATTTTCACAACTTTCCCCGGACCTGGTGAACAAATAATTGTTTTTTTTTGCTTCTAAAAAATTCCAAAAAGTTTTCAGTTGTTGATTTATGTAGGTTCTGCTTTTAGGTCAAAAATAGTTTATTTTGACATCTCTCCTTAAAAATATAATAAAAGAATGGCAATTTCTTGTAGAAAGACCGCGCGCTCGAAAAACGTCGACCAAGAAGGACGATTGGCTTGCTAACACCGAGAACATCGTCGTAAAAAGCAAAATTTTTTTTTACTAGTATCTACGTCTTAAGCGTCGTCTCAAGTGAGGGCGACGTTATGTCGCCGAATTTCTTTCACAAGAGAAAACCGGTTACAAAGGAAATATTTTGAAGATTTCTGAGGATAGCTGATGAAGCTTTGGATGGAGGTTGTGACCCTGGGAAACTGCACATTTTCAATAAGACGGCGCTCTCGCTCACATCAGTCATTTAATTCAAAATTAGCTCTCTAACGTGGATATGTTTTGGTCGAAGGAGGATTTCTAGCCTTGTAATAATCCCGATCTTAACCCTCTCGACTACTACGTGTGGAGTGTAATCGAAAGACACACCTAGTCTAGACATCTCAAAGTTGTTTCCCTTCGGGCACTCATCGAAGTAGCGTATACGATTATAGATCACGAAGACATGTCGCACTTTAGAACAAAAATTTGGGAAAATTGATAGAAGCGTAAGACGACTATATTAAATAAGAAATTTTATAAATGGGATATAAAAACTTTTTTTGTATTTTTCATATTAAATAAAATAAACTTTTCCACGTAACGAACTTTTCTATAAAACATTTTTTTTATATTCTAATAGGATTATATACCAATACATCTGTCATTGACATCATGTTACTTACCTGCTATTTCCGTCCAATAATAATGAAATATTTTCGACACGTTCATTGTGTACTTCTACTCAATTCTGTGAGCAATTGATATGATTATGTTCAGTTTGTACCTCGAGAAAGAAAAGGATTTAATATAAAAAAAACTTATTGTTAGCTACAACTAATATCTAAAAAGTCAAACATTCAACACTATTCTGTCTGATTAGCTTATTGTTCTGTCTTTTATAACTAGTGAAAGATAGAACTTTGTACTTGACGATCCATGTAATTTATATGCAAATATATGTATCTTAAGACTTTATGAAAAAAAATTAAAAGTAAAATATCTTTCGGGATCAAATAAAAATGTAATAAAAAATATAAAGGCAATGAGAGCCAGCACGGTTAATGGGGCACACAAATTTATTAAATTAATAATAATATAAATATGATAATTTAAAATCAATTGATACAAAGTTTTGCTCGTATATTGTAAATACAACTAGTGATAAATAAAAAGGCCAACTTATCGAGCAATTATTAGAGTTGTTCTGTCAAATAAAATTTATTCCATGTATAAACTAAACATAAAACATTATGTAAAAGCTACAAACATTCTATACTCAAACTTAAATAAAAATTACAATCATTATAAAATAAACGTTTCAACCGCACGCGGTCTTCCTCAGTATTATATTACAGTAATTATTAAAAAATACAAAATCATACAAAAATTCCACATAATATCGAAAATTAATGTTAGTTTTTCAATAAGAGTCGAGAATTTATAAGCAATTAAAGCGTGTTTCAATCCGTCATATCCAACAAATGTTCGCTTCGATATGATCTTTAATTTTAATCAAATCTCGAAAAGTTTCATCGTTAATATGCGAGAAATTAATACGTTCCGTAGGCGCTGCGATTAATAAAAAATTGACGATTAACGTATGTCAAAAATTAAAATATATATCCTTAACAATTAGCAATATGCTTACTTGACATCGTCCTTTTTGACAATTTTAACCACGTTTTTTTGAAAAAGTTATTGAAGATGACACAAGATAAGACCAACAATATAAAAAGACACCTCATTTCAAACTCTGCCTAGTTTATACATGGAATAAATTTTATTTGACAAACAACTCTAATAATTGCTCGATAAGTTGCCTTTTTATCTATCACTAGTTGTATTTATAATATTTTAAATTGGCCAATAGAGCTCAAGCGCGAAAAATTAATTCCTCGGAACTATATCTCTTGGTTTGAGATTACTAAGTTCCATATATAAATTAATCTCGAACTTACATATGGAGAAATAAGCGAGAAAAATATAGGTCCAAAAAGTCGCTGAAGAGGGAAACGAACCCTTCACTTTTCATCTTTCACTTTTGAAAAGTTGCGTTGAAAAGATGCGGGTTCGTTTCCCGCTTCAGCGACTTTTCGGATCTATATTTTTCTCGCTTATTTCTCCATATGTAAGTTCGAGATTAATTTATATAATGAACTTACAAGGGGAGTTCGAGGTTGACTATTCACCGATTTTGATCTCCTTTGGTGTGTTGAATCTATATAAAAAAAAAAAGTTGATCCGTGTTCGAGCTTTTCGTCCAATGCGCCTTCTAAAAAAAAAAAAATTTTTTTCCTTGCATTTGGAGAAATTACCAGGTTTGTTATCAGGCTTAAAGAAAGATACACTTTCGATCTGTGCCGCTAGTCCAGTGGTAAAGCGCAAAAATAGTAATCCCGGGATCCCGCGTTTAGGACTTTGGGCTGCCATAATGTTTTTTTATTTTTTTAATATTTTTTTATTATTTTATAACATGTATTATTTATTAT